TTGCACAATCCGAGTCAATCGCGAAGCTTTGGATCTCCACATAACCGATAATGCTCTGCACCACTATCTCTATTTTCCCTTTGATTTCCCAATTCAGGAGCAGAAAATTCCCCTTTCTTGTCTACAAAACATCTACTGTAAACCAAAACATCTCTACTGCAAACTGTATCAGACACTGACTTCACTGATTGTCTAATGAGAAATCCCACGTCTGCACTTAGATTGAAATGCATGTGGTTGCTCCATGAGGCTTTTCAATGGCCCATCACTCCACTCATCTGTCCCCATGAAATGAAGAACTTTGATGGGCACCTCCATTGCCCACCTAAGCACTTTTTCTTGGAACAGTGAAAGCACTCCTCCGTGAATGATTACCTCTGTCATGAGTGTGCATTGCGGGTCAATTGGCTCTCTCCCTCCTCCTCCTCCTCCTCCTCCTCTCTGTAGTGCACTTATCAAGAGCCCTTTTTCAAAAAAGTCCCAAAGGCGGACTCTCTTCCGCAGACCATGAACATAATTTCCGCGTCTTGATTGGAAGAAAGCTACTCATTTCATCGCGCTTTCGCTGTTTTGCGCAAAGTCTGAATAGAGAGCACGCATAGTTAGTTGCATTCCCAACGGGAAGATTATATTTTAATCAACGTGATTAGTTCCATTCCCATATCTCGGTAGCCCGAGAACAGGTTGACGTCGGCGATCGACACGTAAATAGCCATCGAAGGTCGTAGTTTTGAAAATTTCCGTAACATTTCTGTTTCGCCTCGAATTATCAAATGAAATGTGAATAAGCCGTTCCTCAATCATGAACGACGAGAAACTAAACACAATAGTGCTCCAGTGCTTCATGTACCCATTTTCATGTGTCCTGTTTCTCGACCATACAGAGGAGGGGGGAAGTAGCTATCAATCAAGCTCACGACTCGAGTCGAGTCCTCCACCTACCAAGCAAAACAAAACGACTTCTTACAGAACAAAAAGATGTGGGAAGTCGTCAGGCAACAACCTCCCGCCGTATGTACGTCAAACTTAGAGAGAACTAATCATTCATTCGCATGAACAGCAAAGACCAGGTCGTAAAAGATCGAAGAAGAAGACCGCGTAATCGGCTTCATGCTGCAACACGAGGTCACGAAACGCGAACATCATCAGCAGCACCGCCAACACTGTTCATTTGAACTTTTGAAATGGTCCCCCCCCACCCAACCCCAGAATCAAATTAGGCTAACTTTTAGATACGTTGTTGGATCTTATGATCGCCCTTTTTCTTTTTTCACTTCTTTCTACACAGGTACGTTCACGCGCGTAAAACATAACGAAACTCAACATTATACCACTCGTTCGTCGTAAAAAACATGATGGGTCTTGGCTAAAGTATGCGTGACTTGTTTGTTCTTTCTTTATCCACTTAGCATCCAATAGAAATCATGTGTTTTCTAATTTATTATTATTATTATTATTATTATTACGCCATTCTTAAAGAAATCATGCTGGGTCATGGCCAAAGCGAGTAATTTTTGTTTTGTTGTATTTCAAAAGTGGAGGAGAATAATAGTACAGCTCTAAAAATTCTCATTTCGCAAATTAATAGATAAAAAAAGTAAGGATAATACGGATTTTTAGAAAAAGTATTAGTGGTATGATGATCATCATAACAATAGCTAGACCTATCAAGATAAGTCATAGATCCATTTCTTAATCCATATTTGATGGGTTGAATTGTTACATGGATTAGTTATATCCAGTAAATTGGTCATAAATGGGTTTAGAATGGTATTGCCTGAAATAATATGAATGATATATGGGTTCATAACTTACTTAAACCCAACTCACCTTTATGACTCTTTCTCACCCTTACTCGATCTGGTGCTCGCTCACTCTATGCATTATGAGTTATCCTAGATTTGGCTAATTATGGAAATATTGTAGCAATATGGGTTAGGTTGGATATAAGTTGGATTTGGTATAGGTCACTAGATTTATATTACATAGAAATCATCGAAATAGGTTGAAATGGGTCAATTTGATTGAATCATTTTCGACACGACCCACCCATTTGACGAGTTTAACAATAACCTAATAACTTGAAAACCTAAAAAGAGGGTGAAAAAGAAAACTTTATTAGTCAATGCTCGACAAAAACTTAAAAATACTAATTTATTTAGGGCCGCTCTTTTTCCATTTCTAATTTGCTAAAACACTCCCAACAAAAATATTGCGACCATTTTATTTATCGTGGGTCTCACCTTTCAGCATCCTTTGCAATCTCTTAGTAACTTTCTTTTCGCAATCTTCTTTTGCAGGTCCCTCTTTCCTTCATCTTCGCCCTTCTCTCTTTCTCTCTCCTTTTACTTTCTTTTCTTTGATGTTTGAGATGGTTTTTGTGTCATTTTTCATGGTAGGTGCTGGATAAATTGATTAAATTGGAAGTGTTGGTTAATGTTGACTAATGTAATAATTTTCCTTGTGATGGGTTCAGGTCAATGAAGTTTTAAGGTTTTTTTTCTTCTATTTCTTCTTTCATCTCTTTTTTTTTTAGGTCTGAAAATGTAAGTATTGATTCATTCCTTATTTAGTGTTGAATCTGATTAAAGTTTATGTTTTTGAGGATTTTTAGTGAGGCCTTTTGGCATTGCTAAGTTTCTCTCTGTCTGGGGATTTTGTTAGTTGAAGTTTTCGAAAATATTGTGAGGAAGAGTGGAAAGAGAAAAACGGATCTTGTCCGATCCTAAAGAAAAAAGTTTCATCCTATTAACTTCTAACGATTGAACTTACCGATTTCTTTGACCCTGTTGGATAGAGTATGCATTTGATTTTTCGAGTGAATTTTGTGCATTCTTTTCATTGAAAATTTCCTCTGACTAATTTCCATTGATCTCTTTCTTTTCTGCAATATATTTGGCAGAATGATGTCAAGATGTACATTTTGATATCTCCCCATCATATTGGTCTAGTTATGGTTTGGACTCAATAAATGATGAAGGGTTTTTATCTAATAAATTTTAGTTTTCTTCTCATTTCAGTTGGTTTATTGTTACCGGTTCTTGATAAAGTGGAAAACCAGTGGGCATACCAAATGCATTTTCGCATAGTAGCTGGTAAAGTCTGGTGCAAAGTGTAGTTGAATCTCTCGTCTGTATTATATTGGGTTGGTTTTGAATAGAGAAGGGCTTTCATATGTTGCATAGCCACCAATTAGATCGAGAAAATATCATTCGATTGAGTTATGTGCTTTTACTGAGGCGATTACGATGGCATTTTTTCTACAAGAGAGAGAAAGATGTTGAAAGTTGGGATGAAGAGGAAAGGAAAGTGGGACCCGCAAAATAAAAAACCGAAAAAAGACACCGCGGGAAAGTTTAAGATGCTAAAATGTGAAACCCACGACGGGTGAAATAGTCAAAACACTTTATTGGGGAGTATTTTAGTCGAATTAGAATTGAAAAAAGTGCAGCCCTTTATTTATTGAAAATAAAAAATCTCGCGCCGCCCGCTGCCGTCTAATAATATTCCAAATCGTCCTCGTCCCTTCGGCATTACACATGAATACGCTCGTGATCATCCGCTTAACATCAGACGACTCTCCTCTTACAAGCCTCGGGAATTCGATGATGCCTCGAAGACATCGGAATTACCACAATACCACCACCATCTGCCTCGAGGCCAAGGCATGTACTAAAAGTTAAAAAAGCAACACATCGAGCTTTTCACTTTTTTCAGAAGCAGCCCATCTTTGGACGACCAAAAATATGCAAGAAAGATTCGAGCTTTGACGGGGGAACCCATCAAGAAAGAAGCTAAACTTTTGGCTGTTTCGTCGCGTTCTTGGATTTAAGCCGCGTCCCAAAACTCTTGGCGCGTCCGCCGTCGTCCCGCGTCGAAAAATTCCCGCACGAGGAGCAAATTGGAGATGGTACTAGAAAGAAACAAAGACAGCGCCGTGAAACGGCGAAGCGGTTTCATAGTAAGTTCCATACGAGGAGAGAGAGAGAGAGAGTCGGAAACCAAGAACGAATAAACAGGGAGAAGAGGGAGTTTTCGACTGCCTAATTCCCTAAAAAAAAGACCCTCAATTTCGGGTCAAGTTCCAAATTTATTCCGAACTTTTTTTTATCTAAAAAAAAACCCTCCAAACTTTAGATTCAATCCCAAATTTGCCTTGAACTTTTTTTCGTCCGAGAAAAAATCATAAACTTTAAGTCCAGTCCCGAATTTGTCCCGAATTTTGTTTTGTGTAAAAAAAAAATCACCAAAATTCAATTTATTTTAAAAAATATATCCCGATAATCCAATCCCAACTTGACGTGGCACTTTCACGTCGATAACAAATCCACATCAACAGAGTAATGGGTTTTTTTTTTAGACAAAGAAAAGTTCTGAGCAAATTTGGACTGAACATAAAAATTAGATTATTTTTTAAATTAAAAAAAAAGTTTTTTGGGGTGGATTCGTTATTGTCTCTAACTTTCATATCTTAGAATGATTTTATTTTGGAGAATTTCAATAATTTTTATTTGGTTTGATTTATTATCGAAGTGGAAATACGACGTTGGTCTGTACCTATCACCACATTACTTTGTCGATGTGGATTTGTTATGACGTGGAAGTGACATGTCAAGTTGGGATTGGATTACGGAGGTATATTTTTGAAAATAAATTGAAATTTGCTGATTTTTTTTTATATAAAATAAAGTTCGGGGTGGATTTGGGATTGAAATTAAAGTTTGAGGTTTTTTCTAAGATAAAAAAAATTCTAGATAGATTTGGACTAAACCCAAAGCATGAGGTTTTTTCCGAGAAAAAAAATATTTAGGACAAATTTGAAATTCGACGTAAAGTTTGGAATTTTTTTAAGGGAATTTGCCCAGTTTTCAACGCGAAAGTGTCGCTTTTTATCCCTCCAATAATGTGAAACGCGACTTTCATCACTCGTCACCTCTTGTCCCCCCACCTTTTCGCTGTTTCCCAGAATTCTCTTGGCTCTTATAAAGAATCTGGAGCTGCCACGCCCAAGTCTTCCGTGTTAGCGAGGAGAGGAAGAAGAAGGACGAGGAAGAAGGACGAGGCGGAGCAGCAGCAGCAGTGGTGTTGTGTGCTTTCTATTTGGGCAATTAGCGATTTTGGGGAAGTGTTCAGCTGAGTTCGGGATGGGAAATTGCTTGGGTTCTCCATCTAATGAGTATATTCATTCTGGCAACGCCAGGACTTCCACATCAGGTGCATCCCAGGAGCCCCTACTTCCTCTTTTTTCCAAAGATTGAGTCTTTGCTAATTCTGGGTCTTCGCCTTTTTTGGGTGTTGTTTCTTGAAATCTTCCGGGGAAAAAGTTTCAACCTTTGATGACCCTTTTTGTTGTCTCGACACCTCGTGGAGCTGGTTATGCTCAACTTCCACTTTCGGATTGAGTTGCTTCATTTTTGCAATTTTGTTGGTTTTCTCTGTTTGCTTATGTCTCGGTTCATTTGCAGCTCGAGAAGTTTTGAGATTTTACTTCTTTCACCGCAAAAATCCATTATGTCCACCACTTAATGCAACATTTGCTGCTCTGTGTCGAGCAGGGACATCAAATTACCACGGCAACAGCGCGGGATTCTCTGCAACAAGCAGCAGCGGTGGAAATGGCAAGTTCTCGGAGGCGGCGAGCGCGAGCGCGAGCCTGGACGGGGCAGATCTGAATGGGGAGATTCTGGAGACGCCCGACTTGAAGGTCTTCAGCTTTTCTGACCTGAAAAGTGCTACTAGGAACTTCAAGTCTGATAATTTATTGGGTGAGGGAGGTTTTGGTAAGGTCTTCAAGGGCTGGGTTGATGAGAAGACACTTGCACCTTCCAAAATGGGGAGTGGAATGATTGTTGCCATCAAGAAACTGAACCCAGAGAGTGTCCAAGGTTTCGATGAGTGGCAGGTAAATTCTAACTCAAAAAGTTCATTAGCAATTTGTTATTGGCTCCATTGAAGATTGACTTGCGAATTAGTGGTAAATAGGGGAGGGAGAAAGAGACGGTCAAGAAGTTGGAATTAGCTGTAATTATGATTAGTGGACTGTCACTACCTCCTCTTCCCCATCTCCATTATTGAGCATATGCACACTTGGGGGTCCCTCGTTGACAAATAAATGGCCACTCCCTAGTTTCCTTGCTCTAATAGATTACAAATGCATGGTGGAGGATTGATTTCCCTTTTTGATAAAGATCAACTAATATCCACAATTTCAAGAATGTGACAAAGTTATGTTGAAGCCAAGAACGATGTTGGCCTACGTTAACTCTGCCTCTCTGATTCTTACTCAAATTTGAGCTGAACCCTCCCTTCGAAGTTGTAGTATAGCTCCACGCCAGTGATAGAACCCGTAACCAAGGTGTCAAGTGCGTGGAGCTACCCTCCTTGACAATCTCTGCATATACAATTAATTTATTAGGGAGGCATTGGGTATTTGGCTATATTAAACTTCATCTAGCTGTTTTTGTGGCAATTATACATTTCTACATAGCACTTTTTGTTTACATTCATATGAACTTAGGTCTGGGACATTTTACCGGCACAAATGTGAGACTAGATGGTACGTTAAAATTCTCCCTTGGAAGGTGCTTGAAAATGCTGCTAGACTCGCCAATTTCTATATTTGTCTGCAAAGTCGAACTGTCAAAGTCTTAACATGCTTGCCTAATGTCTACTTCACTTGTGACTTCTCAGCAATGTATGATTCTGCATTTGGTCAATAGCTCTTTGACAGATTTAGTCGGATGGCATTTGGGAGATTCAACTTTAAGGCACAGATGATTAAAACACCTTTGGAACACTTCGATTTCTTGTAAGATTGTTGTCCTCATTTAACATGCAAACGTTTGATCACACAAAAACCACACATGTATTTAATCCCTGTGTAATGGCTCCCCACCAAGTTTTTGTTGCATTGGCAATTTAGTAGTGCATTTAATCTGGTTATGTTGGCATTATTGTTCCAATGGAGAGAAGAACCTATAATTATCTTATAACCAGACATCTTAACCATTGTATCTTCTATTTATGTATGTTCTCCAACGTGTTTCGGTAGTTATTTCCTTTTTGATTGTGCACTGCAGTCGGAGGTGAACTTTCTTGGAAGGCTTTCGCATCCCAATCTAGTCAAATTATTGGGATACTGTTGGGAGGAGAAGGAGCTGCTCCTTGTCTACGAATTTATTCAGAAGGGCAGTTTGGAAAATCATCTCTTTAGAAGTAAGAATTCGAGAAGGAAAAAAACGGAAGAAGAATGTGAAACTTTTAAGTCAGACATCCTTTGCTTAGAAGTCCTTATAATTCATTCTTCTTTCACGATGCACAGGGAGTCCTGGTATTGAACCCCTATCTTGGGATAGACGAATCAAAATAGCTATCGGAGCAGCTCGTGGCCTGTGTTTCCTGCATACTTCAGAGAAAAAAATCATTTACAGGGATTTTAAGGCCTCAAACATACTGCTCGATTCGGTTAGTTCCTATTTTATGTGCAAGTGTGAGTTTAGAGCCTAGAGCATTGACTGCTGTGCCACTGCAATAAATGACTAATTAGGTCAGCCTATTGATGAAGCTTAAAGGAATAATTGGGAACTTTATAGCAAGCAATATAATGTACATGCTCTTTCCTTTTTCCACAGAAGAGGAAAATGTATGAACAATCCTGTCTTTTGCTCTCTCTGATACCTATAAAGTAAAGAATAGCAGATACCATACTCTTAGGTTAGTTTAAACATTTAATCTTTTGGTAGCTAGCACGCTTGTATTTGTAAAAACATTTCATCATCAATTAGAAGAAACTATATCGTTTCAGTTAATTTATTGGCAGATGTGATTTTAGGGAGTTCCTTAAAAATTTAACTTTAAATCTTATGCTTATAACTTTTCAATAAACTTCTTTTTTACCTGTCTTTTGTAGCACTATAATGCGAAAATAGCTGATTTTGGCTTGGCAAAGTTAGGACCTTCTGGAGGCGACTCGCATGTGACGACCAGAATTATGGGCACATACGGTTATGCTGCACCGGAGTATGTAGCAACAGGTAACTGCATATTCTTCACTTACATACAATACAATTTAATAAAGCTTCAAAGACAAATGTCTCTTCATCTTTAGTTGGCACTATCTAGACTAGAAATAGGAGGCCTAAACGGGTATATGCCAGAAGATGCGTGATGTACTCAACCACAAGAAAGTAACTTTTGCTTTCTTATAGTTGTGCAGCATTTTGCTTTGTCTTGTCATTTTCTTCAGCCAAAGATTACAAAAAGGGTAGTAAAGACATCCAAAGGTCTAGAGTGAAACGAAAAATAATTTGTTTACCCATAAGACACCCAATGTGCCATTTTAGATTTGCGTCCATTAACACTCTCAGTACACATATTAGCTGACGTGAAAGATTGTTCAACAGGCCATTTGTATGTGAAGAGCGATGTGTACGGCTTCGGTGTGGTCCTACTAGAATTGCTGACCGGTTTGCGGGCACTCGACACGAAGCGTCCTAGTGGGCAGCAAAGTTTGGCGGATTGGACCAAGCCAATTCTATCTCAAAGAGGAAAGCTGAAGAATATTATAGATTCCCGGATGGAGGGCCAGTATTCCTTTAAGGCAGTGTTACAAACCGCACATCTCACTCTGAAATGCCTAGCTACGGAACCCAGACATCGGCCCTCCATGACAGAGGTGGTGGAGACTTTGGAACGGATTGAATTGATCAAGGATAAATCAAAGCAATCCACAATTGGTTCTCATTCCTTGGCTAATCGTGTGTAAGTCATCAATCGATGGATCGTCGCTCACCTCTTCATCCAAGACATCATGGAACTGTATTGTGAGCTTGGAACTTGTCACTACGTAGAAAGAACATAGCAATGGATGATTCAACAACGTTAGCATCCATCCAAATACCACATTCTTTGGTTGTTGTACGATAGTCAGATTCTTTCTAATGATCTCCTTAGGTTTACAACCTTTTCTTTTAGTCACAACATTTGCCTTAAAATAAGGGTGGAATGATTAGAATGTACAAGCATTTTCTTCTTTTTCTCTGGTGTGATTGGAAATTATGATGTACGACCTATTCTTTTGTAGTTGACCATGAATGGAGAGATAACAAAAAAATTTGTCCCTGGGAAGTGTTTCCAAGTTTATGGCCTCCTCTTAATCATCAGTTCTCTGTAGGAAGCTTGAAATGCAAAAAGCAAATAACTGCTGTTTCTCTTTGCACAACAAGGGTAGAGACAAATCTAGGCTCGTGTTCCTTGAGCGCATGATCTACCTTTTAGGGAGCACTCCTATTTTGCTTGGAACATTTGAATCCAATAAACTTGACTGTGGCAACATATAAAGTGGCGAAAATCTGGTTTCCAGTATTTCAACTGGTGGATTTCTGTCGGCAGAAGAAGGCTGAGAGGAACGCGAAAAGCCTCGGCAATCCTCTGTTACCAATGTCCGACCAAAAAGAGCATGTATCCTGCATTCCAACAATTGCTTGGTGGACAAGAGAAACGATCTTTCATTGGCTGGCGAGCCACAGTGATAAGGTTAGCCTTCAGTTGCGATTCCTAGATATACTATGTCTACTCTAATTTGTCTCATCCAAACGTAACCAAACCGTTTCATTGGCTTCCAGATTTTGGTGGCAATTGGAGGAACTCCGGGTCCTGTTACTCGTCCTTGAAGCCCTGGGATGAGCCGTGCGGAATGAAGTGTGCTTGCGGGTGGACTTGGCTTTCCATCTATGCCGAGACCAGAATTTCATATTGTCAGTCAAATTGGGTTGGCTTATGTTCAACAGAACGACCAAGTTGTGGCTCAATGTCTTGAAGGGTAAATAGACGAGAGCTCGACACTTCTTGTATCACATGGCACCCAGAGCCGCTCGGTTTAGGATGGGGCATCACGGTACGAGATATCACACTGGACAGAGGCCTGTTTATTCAAGTAGGGAACCCGCAAGCCGCAACCTTGTTGAAGTTTGACGAGTTCCATGGATACCTTGGATGGAACCAATTCTAGTAAAACAGAACAAACTGAAAGCCCTTTGCAAGTTCCAGAATCTGTTTGTTCCTGGCACGAACTTTCTGGGATGCTCTGAAAGCGAACTCTTCGCTTGTTACTGACTCAGAGGACCACATCCGGAAAATCATAAGTCAATACTACTCTACTAGTTAGCCTGTTCTGATGGACTATTCCGAGCCAATTTCTGATTCGTCGAAATTTAACATCGAAAGATTGGCAGATTTTCGAGAGATTTTCAAGTTGCTATCTTTGGAGAATTGCAGCATCTATAACGTATCGTTGAGTGCTACTATTAGCGCCGATTCTTCTTATCAACCCGTCGGCGCGCAGGTTCTGGTAAGGTAGATACAATGCATCTTTTGATATTGAAGGAACTTAGATTGGCAGATTACTTGGTTTCCTAGACAAGCTAAACGGATTAGCACATATAGTCCATGTGGGTGAAGACTAAGCACACTCAATCACAGGAAGAATTTGTGGAGAAAAAATTGTTTCTGCTGCAAATAAATTGCTAGCACAGAAGATGTGACCGTCTTGTGATTGATGGAAATAACTCTTGAGATATGATCAAGTCCTTTTCATTTCAATTAGAAATTAATTAGAGATTAGAAATGTGATTACTAGAGGAGGCACTACCTCCCCCACAAAGAGTTATGCTGCAGACAGGAAAAGCATCGACAATAACCTAACCTAGACTTATTGTTCTAGCTTAAAAAAAGAAAAAAAGACAAAAATATGAAAAGATTCGATTATAATTATTGTACCTTGATTCATTTTCGACATGTGAAGAATAATTGACTCTAAACTAGATCATCCAACTTGCATTACTCTACTTCAATAGAGCACATGTATTAAGGAATATGAATTTTCTTTAAAGAATAAGGAATCACATATTAGATTTTTTGTACATCGAAAATTAAAGTTCTGAAAATTATGTACCGTTATGATCAGCGCGGAAACTACAACGAAATCAAAATTGAGAAGAATGAAAGAGCACACAGATTTACGTAGAAAACACTTGCGGGAAAAAGCCACGGGAAATGGAGAAGCAAAATTCAATATGGAAATTCAAGAATTACAAAAAGTAATTGAGAAAAACCTAAGACTCTTTTGGTCTATCCTTAAAATATAAAAACTTGAGAAAAACAATATTTATACCGCTCCATATCACGGGGTTGCAACCCCCGCACCCCCCGCCGAGGACCAACACCAAACCTCAATTTTCTTTTTCATCTTATCAGGTCGCCACAAAATTCCAATTTTGATATCAAAATCCAATTTAGATCGAATACATGAAAGTGACAAAACAGAATTCAAGACATTCTCAACACGCCACTAACACAAATAACACGCAAACTTTCAACGTCAAATTAACACAAAGTAACACGCAAACTTTTAAGTCGGGTCAATTTCGGCCCAGCCTTCAAACGCACCATCAAAACACGTACACAAACTTCCAAACGAGACTCCGACAACATCGCATACCTATCACGCTCATGGGACAGTTCCGGCCTCTGTTTACCTCAGTCGTGCATGAGTGTCGTCATCGGACGTGACAAACGGTGCCTTCGCGTGAATGGCCTAGTATCTAGAACGAGTGAAAACTCGGTTTTGTAACTCGTTGGATGGCTCCCCTAACGGTTTGCAAAGCGTAATACAATGTCACTTCCGATGATTCGACCCCACATGCTATTTATTGCATTCGATGGATCCAATGCGAGAGTTATAATCCAAGATGACATTGCCTAATTCGCCGTCCATGTTACGTTCGTCGGTGAATCGACAACTCGACCGACACTTACGGACAACAAAGGTAACCGAGGTCAGAACATTTAAAGTTTGTGCCGAAAATTTCTCATGAACATAGGTATGTGTCTTTCTTTGAGGAGATCAAAAGTTGGGGCCAAAATCAATCTAAGGTAAAAAAGTTGGGGAAATTGTCCAATCGGTCCTAAATAGGGCAGTGCAACTTGTCAGGTTCTACCTTGAAAGCAGAGAATCGGATCGAGCCGCCTATAGAAATAGGTCTTGTTCTCGATTCCAAATTTTTTAAATCAATACTATGCGGGTAGGTTCCAGATTCTGAGCGTTAAACCTACCCACTTAGGGTACGCATGATAACCATTCTGTTTCTATCCAAAACTAGTTTTCTGTTTCCGAGAATAGATTTGGAACAGAAACCTGTTTGGTAAAGCAATTCTATTTTTCTATTTCTGGAACAACTTTTTGTTCCAGAACTGGTTCTGGACCAAAAATTAGAATAAAAAAAAAAGTAGATTTTCTGTTTCTGGACGAGAAATGAAAACCATTTCTAAAAGAACATGTCTTCGCTCTTCAAAACACATCTCTTCCTAAATTTGGCCCCGATCAGACCTGGCCAGACCGATCCGAACTGGTTCGGTCCGGTTCATTCCCAGAGGGAAAATAAAAAAATTTCTAAAAAAAATTAGAAAAATCATTAAAAAAAATTAGAAAATTCATAAAAAAAAAATCAAAAAATGAGAAAATTCATAAAAAAAAATAGAAAATCCAAAAAATTCCTAAAAATCTCAAAAAAAAATTTCAGAAAATCCATAAAAATTGAAAAATTCCAGAAAATAAAAAAAAGTTAGATTTTGGGAAAATACGAAATTTGGTGAATTTTTTCAAAAAAAATTCAAAAATTCAAAAATTCTAAAAATTCAAAACTTCACAGAATGGCTTAAAATACCTGTGGCCAGCGACTTTGAGTGAAATTTAAATTTTTTGAGGTGCCCAGATGATATTTTTTAAGACTCCTTAGTTTAGGGATTTAAAAAGGGTTTTAACCCCTAAAAAACCCTAAAATGGGTCTTTACCCCTAAAAAACAACACATTCCTTTGAATGAATAAGCCCTTAGGGCTTTACTAGGGTTTTGGTATTTTGATTGATTTTTATTTTAGAGACCATTTCTAAAAAAATGAATTTCTGTTCCGGGAAATAGAAATTTGTGTTGTTATCAAACGGGTTTATGTTCCAGGAAATAGAAATTTTATGTTGTTATCAAACGGGTTTCTGTTTTAGAAATAGAAATTTTTGGTCGTTATCAAACGGGTTTCTTTCCTCAAAAACCCGTCCTGGGAACAGAAATAGAAAAAATCTATTTATGTTCCATCAATTGTTTCTGAAATAGAATAGTTTTCATTCTCGCTCTTAAGAACTGGTTAGAACCTGTTTTTTTGAAGTTGGAAGAAGATGATCTATTATTCTCCCTATTGCTTTACATTATTGTTTGTTTTGCATCGATATTTTACTTTGAGCCATTTTGTTGCTCATACTATTTTTCTATAATCACTATTTGTCTTGGTTTTTTTTTAAAAGAAGCAAAAAAATAAAAAAAGAAACCGGTTCCATGGTAGACCCTAGAACCGGACCAAACAAACAAAGTAGGTCCAGGGTCGGTTCCAAGGCAAACACGGTAGATTCTAGGTTCCAGATCTAGAACCTACTCACCCTTGAACTGATCACTCTTAGTTCTAAACCTTTCAATTGGTCAATTTAGTCATCAACATTTAAATAATTTGGCAATATAGTCCTTCATGACCAATTTTGGCCCGAATTGTAGATGTGGATGTTGGGCATCTAACGTGGCACGGCCGACATTAATGTGGGCGATTTTTTCAATTTTTTAAAATTTCATTTTTTCTAAAGAAAAATAAAAAAATGGAAAAAAAATAAAAAATCAGAAAAATTTAAAAAATTTGCAAATAACAAGTGAAATTCATTCCACTTGCCAAGCGAGGGTCATCCGCCGTCCAAAACTCAATGAAAGAAAGAAAAAAAAGGGGGGGGGGGGGGGGGGGATGCATAAGTTTTTTTAAAAATTACAAAAATCGTCAACGTTAGTAATTTCCGACCAAAATTGGCCGGAAAGACTACATTAGCAAATTGTCTGAAGGTTTAGAACTAAATCGATCAAATTAAAAGATTTAGGACGTTTTTTGGTAATTTTCCTCTATGCAAAGTATAATCAAATTGTCTATACTCCATTCATCGATAGATCGACAACTCAACGGCCTTCATGGACAACAAAGGTATAGAAGTCAAAACTATTCTGTAAGCACTAGTATTTGTTTATTCTTTAAGACATTCAAAGTTTGTGCCAAAATTATCTCACGAAACATGAGTCAGTGTCTTTCTTTGAGAAGATCAAATGCTTGGGCCAAAATCAATCTAAGGTCAAAGTTCATGCCTTTTTGGAAAAAGGAATGGAGTTCGAAAATTACATCTTTACTCTCCTAATAAAATATGATCCAATATGATCCTCTTACAAAAAAAAGAACCAAACCTATTGGTGGCCTATCAAATACAAAATTATCACACTCATTGTTGGTCTGGATAACTCAAATTTGCTAGCCAATTTTGTGCATGCATTTCCCTCCCTAAAATTATGGCGAATCTTGGCCAAATGAAAATTCTTGGGCATATTTCCAATTTGAGAAATGAGTACGTCACCAAAATGAAGCGATGGAGTTGATTTCCGAAGCAAACGAAATGGCTGCTTGCAAGTTCGCCGCTACAATAACTTTAGTAATACCTAAAGAGATTGCTGTTTTGCGCCAAGAAAATGCCCTGCTGTTCTACTTTGAGTGAAGGACACACTCTCATTCTTTGCGTAAGTTCAACAAGCCAATTGCCTGAGTCATCACGAATAAGTCCACCTACTGAAACAGGACCCGGGTTGCCTTTGGAGGCCCTGTTGATATTAGGCCAATTTTTTTATAATATGTGGGAATAAGATAAGGTGAAGGGTAAGTTCCTTCGCCAAACATAGTAAAAAAGAAAGGCTTTTCTTCGGGGGCTCAGAAACAGAAAAGTCAAATTAAGGACCATGCGATGCAGTGAGAGAGAACCAAAGAAGATGGCTGAACAAAGCTCGATGGGGGAAAGTTCAACAACTGAACCTCAAATCTAACATGTTGGTAGGCTTCTACTTTTGAGTTTCTAGGAGGGACCATTGCTCTTCTCCGCCTCCCCTTAAATCCGTCCTATATGCGCGTCGCGGACTTATCATGTTATTGCCATTTGACCGTCACGCCAGTATCGCGTCGGACAAAAGTTATGGGGTTTGACAAGGCATCGATTGCAAGAAAAAGTAACAATTTTGTGGATTGGGTAATTCAATCAAAGTGTATGTCTTGCTCTCATTAAAGATTAGTGTGCGCGACGGAATTAACCGTGAAAATAAGTCGCGAAAGAAGGTTTACTTAACTTGGGTTGGACCATGGCTTTTAATCGATGATGGTAAGTAACTTTCAGCCTATTTATAATTAGAAAAGGAATCTCTATTTTATATATCTACATCGTTTCATTAAAATTGTCGGATGAAATTATACAAGGAACCTCTTTCCTCTTTTGAGCAATACTTAATATGCTACTACTAATTTACGTAATTAATATACTTATCGATGCAACATATTATAATAAATTTAATCCGTCGCCAATTGTCTACGCACCAAATTTCATACGGATTCCTCTTCCTTTTCCGAGCAATGATCGCACGTGATGGTTGTTATATGAGATCAGAACACTCAGCGACGTGGCGTCGAGCCATATTTAAAGTCGAACGACAGACTGTCGCATTCAACGGGTTGGCCCGGTTTTTTCCTTGCTCGTAAGCACCTCGCTCGTGCAGCCCATGGGTTGTGAAGCGTCTGGATTGCTCTGCTCTCTGGTCGGATTAAATTACACGTGGATACCTCTTCCTCTTTTGAGCAATACTTGATATGCTACGACTAATTTATGTAATTAATATACTTAGGCATGCAACAAATTTAATCCGTCGTCATTGTTTCATTAAAATCCGACGGACCAAATCTCATACGGATTCCTCTTCCTTTTCCGAGCAATGATTGCACGTTACACTTGTTATATGAGATCAATACACTCGGCGACGCGGGATCGAGCCATATTCAAAGTCAAACGATAGACCATCGCATTCAACGGGGTCGGCCCGGTTTTTCCCTTGCTCGTGGGCCTCTCACTCGCGCGCCCTCCATGGGGTTGCGAACACGTCCGGATCGCTCTGCTCTCCGGTCCCCGGACATGTTAAGCCGCGGCACACCGATTTCGCAAACCGGTCCAATGCATTCCTAGCATTGCTCTGTCTTTTGTTTGGGAAGCACCTCAGTTGATGGGGAATCCCACCGGAAGAGAAGACCGAAACCTCAATTCACCATCGAACACGTTCAACGGTCAACGTCAGTTGGCACGCGGTTGTTCGAAAACAATATATAAGGACCATTCAACGTCGGAAAAGTTTCCATCGCTCCCATTATTATTCTCATTGCCTTTTTGTCTTCTTCCCCTAGTCCCCCTCAGCTAATCTCTCCGTCCGTCTCCACCGACGGCTCTTCAAATCCGTCGCTACGGGCGCTACCGGTCAAGGGTTGGGGGGGGCGGCATCGCCAGCAGGTGGGAAATCTCCCCCTGCGCATTCAAAAGGAGAAAAAACAGCTCCGGACGACGTTTTCTCGGTTAAAAAACGAAGCTTGGACGCGAAAACGAGTATAAAATCTCGCTCTGTCTGTCTCTCTCTGTCTTGGAGACGTGGAGTGAAGGTGGGTCCATCAACAAGTGTCAGCAGAGGCGTTCCACGAGTGGTAGGAGGAATCTAGATCTTTTCCCAGAGCGAAAGAGAGAGAGAAAGAAAGCTCCAAAGTCTATCGAAATCGAGCGGGCTACGTGACCCATATGATGGTTTGAAGTAATTTATCTAAATTTTTAATCTTTGAAGCCCCCGGTTTTGAAGATTCTTCTTTCAACCACGAGAGCCCACGAGTACTGTTCTACCCTGTGAAAGGTGGTGATTTGTTCCTTTTCCTTTCCGTCCTGCTTTTTATTTGCTTTGCTCGCTCTTTCCTAGATCCTCTTTATGTCGGGCACTTTTGCTCTTTCTTAATTGCGTAAAGTATATTTCGACCAAAGAAACAACTTGCTCAAAGTATTCGCTTTGGCGCTATGTTATCGTCCTCTTCTCCAAGTTCAATGCTTTGCCTGTTGCTGGCCATGTTCTCCATCACGGGTCATCGACAGTTCGTCTAGATTGTGTATTTCCAGCAATCGCATGTCATTGCTAATGTTTGCTGGGTTGTGAGCCGGAGCTTCTCGGGAATAGGTGAAGCCTAGTCATTGATTGCTTCTGAGTTTTCGATCGATCTTCTGTTACTGTCGTCCTAGAAAATATAGTGTCTTTTGGTAAAAATAAAGGGATCATACTGGTTCTGTCTCTGGGAAGTGATTTCAAGTCTTTGATTGTTGTACTGTATCGGCACTTAGGGAACTTTTCCTTGGATCGTTGTGGTGTTTGTGAGTTCAGATGTCAAGATTCATGTATGTGTTTGCCAGGAGATTCAGGCTTGGAAGTTTGTCTTTTTGGAATGCAATTACTGGAAACTCTAGCAAACTGCTGACTCTTACTTACTTTTCAACACGTGAATGATCCTCTCTGATGCTGTTTGTTGAGTAGTTGTGGGGATTAGAAATTGAGAGAAGATGATGGTACATGGGCGAGTCCAACAGCTTTAAGTGGTTGGGATGGTTTTTTGTGCTTCGACAGGAATATGTTCTGGGAATGAAGTCATGCACTCTATCTGATGAAATTGTCCATTGAGAGGGGTGTTGCTCAAATGGAGAAAGTTTTCTTCAGTTTGAAGAAAATTAATAATTTGCCCACTTGACCGAAAGTAAAGAGTAAGTGAGGGAACAGATCTACACATCTTTATGTTTCGAGGGAAGCTATACGATCGCTGTTCCTTGTTTAATGAGATACACCATTGAATGAAGCATCAGTGTTTTCCCTTGTTTAATCTCCCTGTTTCATTGTCGTATATGTATTGCCGTTTGATCGTGAGTGTTTTTTGGATAGACTCTAGGCATTGAAAACGGAGAAATTTTTATTTTCACCAGGCTCAGGGTTTTCCAGAATTTAAAGCTTTATAGTTGGCTAATGTTTTCTACTGGTTTGCACAGAATTAAGCAACACAGAGGCGGGGGTTTGGAGAGAGAAGAAGGGAAAAGACTGGGGAACTTATTTTATCTCTTTTGACACCTGTAAGATTCTTTCCACACTTCTGCGAGAGCAGGCACTTTTTTCACGGTCTCTCCAGGTTCTGGTGAAACATGCTCATGTTCAAATGTCGAGCATGCGAAATTGTTGTGGGGGCTGGATTAAATGGTTGATGGTGCACTATTCTCGGAATGTTTATACATAAGTAGAATAATAAGGACGATGATGGACTACAAAACTGTTGCCAACTGGTTCTGGATGTTGCTTTGCTGATTTTGAGTTAGTCAGTTTCTCACTTACCGGTTTTTCTTCCCTCGTATTATTTACTTTTGATATGTCGGTGACTGGCATATATGACACTCATCCTCATTATGAGCTTCCGGCTGTAAGTGCAGTTTCTCTTTAACTCTACCTCCTTAGGATTTGGATTAATATGCTTTTTCCCATTTCAGAGTGCCCATTTGTGCTTGAACTTATGATGTGCTTTGCTGGATTTTTTGCTATTCTGTAACATGTGGTGTTGTAGAAATCATTTTAAAGACCAAATATATGTGGCACTTCAGATTTGAATTGTCAATTTGAATGAGCTGGGTTCACGAGTCACCATTTTTGGCATGTACAGTCTATGTTGCTCCTATTCAGTAGATAGAGATGCTTTGAGAATGCATATCATATGATGTTGTATTATTTTTCAAACAGGTCATATGGAATTTGCAATCTAAATTTGGTCCTCGAGCATACAATGGGGAATGAAAGCAGTTGGAGTGGCAGTCAATGTTTAAGTACTCTCAGCAATTTTTTCAGGAAATACCTGTTTCGTGTTTTATCATGTGGAGCTATTCCCACTCACATTGCTTTCATTATGGATGGAAACCGGCGGTTTGCTAAGAAACAAAACATGGTTGAAGGCGAGGGCCATAGGGCTGGTTATGAATCCCTCATATCTATGCTTAATTACTGCTACGAACTTGGGGTCAAATACATCACGGTGTATGCCTTTAGCATTGAAAACTTTAAGAGAAAACCTGAGGAAGTCCAATATCTGATGAATCTGATGATAGAGAAAATCGATGAATTGCTTCAAGATGGAAGCATCATAAATCAGTATGGGATGAGGTTGTACTTCATAGGAAACCTGAAACTTCTAAGTGAGGAGGTCAGAGTCGCGGCAGAGAAGGCAATGAAGGCCACTGCCCACAATACCCGGGCTGTGCTTTTGATATGTGTGGCGTATACTTCATATGACGAAATTGTTCATGCTGTTCAAGAATCCTGTGAAGAGAAGATGAATAACATTCAAGCAGAAAATACTGTCAAGGCAGGTCGCAATAGCACTGAGCAAAATGGAAGTTGTGAGAAGATGAATGGTGTTTGTCCCCCTGAAATTCAAGACTGCTGTATTCATGAAGTGCATGGAACTGTAATACTAGGGAAAAATGAGATACACTGTAACGGGTTCAGCAAATTGGAGACAAGCGAAAAGAAGAATGGAGTCATTAAGCGTGCTGTTCCGGGATTTCATGGAGACAAGTGGAATGAAGTTCAGGAATCCATGCAAAGCCAATTGTCCAAAGGCACTATTGAAAGTAGTGAAGATGGTGAGACGGTACGAGAAATTAAACCTCTCATAAATCTGGTGGACATCGAGAAGCACATGTACATGGCAGTGGCTCCTGATCCGGACATTGTGATCCGGAGTTCTGGGGAGACTCGTCTGAGCAACTTCCTGCTGTGGCAGACTGGCTACAGTCCCCTGTACTCTCCGGCTGCGCTCTGGCCGGAGATCGGGCTGTGGCATTTGGTGGGGGTGGTGTTGCACTACCAGCGAAATTACTCGTATCTGCAGAAGAAGAGGAAGCAGTCATGAGATCATATTTCTCGCACCTCATGAAAGTAGGTGACAGTTTGCTCTTGCTTTGGATCTCTCTGCGGCCTTGATAGCTAGCGAACTTAGATGGTTCAGCTGCGATTTTGCGTTTTACTTATATAGGACTGCAACTCGTTGAGGGAGGGAAGGAGCAGTCCGGTTGCTCTTGTTTCTCTCCTCAAACCGGTTGACTTGCTTGATACTTGATCAGCTCCTCACTTACCATGTCGATTATCAAGTAACGATGGAATGATCCACTGATGGAATAAGCTGGAACAGCCCCAGCTGTTCGCAGGCACATCCGTAACATTAATTTTTATCAATACTAGATAAGAGGTGTCACTTACATGAACGGCATACTTTGAAAGAAAATCTTTTTTTTTTCGAAAATATGGATGTCTCAGTTGCAGAAATAGAAAAGTTAAATTCCAGAAATATGATGCTCAGATTCTCATTTGTTTCGTTGGGTCTGAAACTGGATAATACAATTACAGGCTAATACTTTCCTGGAGCTCATATCTAACAATTTGGGGCTTCTGCTTCTACTTTACTCCTTGTTCTGTATGTGTCCATTGGGCATTTATGTGGCCTGATTGAAGAAGAAATCCCATGTTTTTGCTTCAGCGAATTTCTCTTATTTTGAGCCTTTCCTTTTCATAGCCAGAGTGTGTTTAAGAAGCCAAGGTCTCATCTTCCAAATGCTTCAGTAACTCCGATTTAGCATTTCGGTTTTCTTCATATTCCCTGCGCCAGATCAAATCATGCTCAATATTTCGACTCCGGATCATATCCTGTGATACCCGTCCAGGATCCATCTTAATCGATATGATGGTTCTTTTCTCAATAAGCATTATCGAGGTAGTAACGAGATTAAAGTCGAAAAGTAGTAATCTAGACAAATGCCTTAATTTGTTATAGATGCGACCCTCGATCACATGGATCCTAGAATACTTTCTTCGTGCATGACATTGCGCTTGTCAATTTGCTTACTTAACCATCATACGAAAACCACCATACATCTTCAATGGTTTGGACATTATCTGGACAAGACAAAGGCAAACGAAGCCAATTTGCAAATTAAGAAGATAAATCTTTTTGTAGATAGGCAAAGACATCAGAAAAAAAGAGTTAATCTGTGGTTTAGCTGTCTGGCCTTCGAGAAAAGAAAAGGGGGGCTATTACATACGAAGATTATAAGCATAAATTAGGATTTGAGTAGAGTATTAGAAAAAGTATGCATGTTGACGCCATGATATGATCTAGGAGTAAATGAGATCTGTAGCTGTATTAAGTAAATCAATCTCCCTCAAACCTTTATATTGACCTGGAATGAACATATTGTGATAGAGCAAGAGAAATCAAATTATACAAATCTCCATTAATTCCAAACGTAGCACTGTCAACTGAAAATCTAAGGCAATTGGATTCTAGGCAATATAGAAGTTAAAGAATAAATACAATATGCAGCGAGACGAGAAAAAAACAGTGAAACGGCAGTTTAGTGGCACAAGGCTTTTGCATCCAGAATCAACGAGGCTTGTGCAGACGAGGTCGATTGCAGAAAATCCGGCCATTAGCCCTTACAAATGCTGCTATTGCAAGACTCATTCCCGCCCACACAAAGGAGAAGAACAGGTGTCGGAATTCGAAAGGAGCTGCAAAAGGAAAGAACAGGAATTACAATTACAACCTGATTGTCGTAGAAAGAGAGAAAATCAAAAGAAACGAGGTGATTCATAAGACTTGTCACGTTAGGAGCTAGTAGCAATTCTCTCGCCCCGACAACCATAAAACAACAAGGTCATAAAGTTCTCTGTCAGGCAAAAACTAAGGCTACATTGCCGCATCTGTTGGACCAGTCTATCCAAAAAAATTTGAGGAGAACATCATTAAGTGTTGATTTCGAGACGATGGAACCAATGCAAATAAGAGTAACTCACCTCGTCTTAAAGACATGGCTGCGAAAAAGAATCCAACCAAGACCAATGACAAAGCCAGAGGAAATGACTGAAATGGAGAAAGAAGCATCAGTCGAATATAAGCAGGACAGCATGACGACATCCCTAATAGATGCAACGTAACCATGCAATTTGAACATTAAGCAATAGTCTCTCTCATGACCGAAACAGAGGCAGTTGAATCAGGTCTCCAACAACTGAATAAATTTAGACAGATGATAATTTTAAACCGGCATCAGAAGATAATGATCATCTGGAAAGGACCACCAAGTTGAATTACTGAGACTTTTTATAGCAGACGGAATATTCATGATAGGACGATGAAAGCATGGAATGTGCTGATGCACATAGATTAATAGCATTTCATGGTCCACCAGCATATCTTCATAAAGATTGGAAAAGTTGAGGAGCTTTAAGGACAATATGGTCAACCAACTCTCAACAACTTTCAGCACAAAGGTTTAAAAATAAGATTGTTTCACCTTCACAAAAATATGCCCTATACCATAAAAGGAGGTACCAAATATCCACAAGATGCATTTTAAACAACAATTTCAATCCCCTCCATCAAGTAGTGAAAGAAAAGAAATTTCAAAATCATCTATTCACCTACATTAATTAGATTCCTTAGTTTGGACTGGATATTGGTGCATTAGTTATTTAGGCCTTTGGATGAGATGATCGTCTTTAGCTATATCTTAGAACCTGACCATGTGACTCGTGCAACATAAGTCAATCCTAATTGTGTCACAAAGGAACATCCACATAGCAATGCTTGGGTAAGGAAAAAAAGCATAATGCTCATCTACATGAGCCAGAAATCATGTCAATACTGCCAGTTCATGAACACGAGCAACACTCACATTTATACACAAAATGTATAGCTACTGACAAGGATGATCACAAAATCACTTCAAGGACATGTGCTAATATTGTTATCCTACAAAATGCAATAAGCTAGTACTTACAGCTACAGCCTCAAGGCCCGTCTTCTGTGACGGAATGGACGGGGTGGTTAAATCGCGACTGACTGAGACAATATAATGCCCTTGAAGTAGATCGATTGCATCCTTAAATATTTTACAGAAAAAAAGTGCAGTTAGCATGGAAATTGAACGATTGATAATAATAATGAATCTCTCTCTTCACATGAGGATAATCATAGGTACTACACTAATTTGCTGTCTCTGAAAATTAAGATTTCAGTCAACCGTGAATGAACAAATAAAGTTCCGAAGTTAGGAGGAAAATCAAATCGCAGCATTCATGCATTACTTCCTTTGGAGAAAATTTCATCAGTGATAAGATTTTCAAGGTGGTCAAATAAGCAATCCAGATAAATTGGTGGACATACTTGCAGGTGCACATACAGAGGGATAATATAAGCATACCAAAACACGGATATAGTGAAAACGATAAGAGCATCAAACCTGCTTTGTTCCATCAACGAAATTATTCAAATAGTAGCGGCCCAGGGCATTCATTCCGTCTTTAAGGATCCCCTGAATCGTCCGCCGCCCATATCTATGAGGCATTAGGATTTAATGAGCACAGAAATGGTCGGATTGAGTATCAAACTAATAAACCAAAGCTATGCAAGCATAAATTAAAATATATATCAAAATCACTAGTACCTGACAAAGTCACCCTTCAGAGCAGGAGTACCAGAATACTGAATGCTTATTTCATCCCCATGATTAGCCCACACTGGAATACAATAACCGGAGAGAAAAGCAAGATTATTAGACGATATTTACAGACCGTCAAATGATATACAAACCTTATTACTAGAACTAGCATAGTAAAAGAATAAGATAGAACACGGTCATACTGAAAATAAGCCCAACATGAGTTGCAACCACTCACATATCTTAAAGTTTTCATCAAAATTTGGATGTGCCTCAATTGTCTCTTCAGCACTGAATACACCAATCCTCCTGAGCTGCCATTCTAACACTCTTCGACCTATCATGCTCTGCAATTGCAAGATGCCATCATCAGAAAACAGAATAATGCAAACATCAAGAGAAAAAAAGAGGGGTGCAAAAATCACTAAGATAATTATGCAAAATCCTTCACCGCAGAAGCAGATGCTTCACTTTAAATGTATATTAAGAAGAGAATATATACCAACTATTGTCAACATGAGAAGGAATGCAGAAATGCTGACAATAATGGCACAATTTTAGCATTGAATCTCATGGAGAGTTCAATCCTGGCTCAGGATGAATGCTGGCATCATGCTTAACACATGCAAGTCGGACAGGAAGTGGTGTTTCCAGTGGCAGCGGGTGAGTATCGCATAAAAACCTGCCCTTGGGAGGGGAACAAGGGCTAGAAACAGCTGCTAATGCCCTGGGCTGAGACAACTGATTCAGGCTCTACACTCATTACATTCAAAGAAAGATGATCTTATGAAACACTATACGGGGAAGACGATGCCCTGTTCATTTCTGACAAGCAATAATAGTGATCAATTCAGTAGGTTCGTATTACAAGCCCGAGATCACCACATCATTAATTAAGCAGTGGGAGGATTGACAATTGTAGCACAACCCTATATCCAAGAAGAGAACACATGATGAAGCCCACAAGATCAAACAAGTTAATACTTGTTCAAAAATGACAGTTTTTACCAAGTTTAGATGAATAGGGACCATATTATCGATTCATAGATCAAATAAAAGTCCTATAGGATTAGGGTTTGTCTCTCCATTGAATTAGTAGTCTCATATCTGAATTTACTTAGGACATTGATGAGTTCCTACTTTCTATTGAAGTACAATTAGTGTTCATTAATATAAGTTTAGGCAGGATTTAAGCTTTTTATTGAGATTCCCTACTTCAACTAGGAGTAAATTTTTTCATAAGAGTCTACATATAAGCTAGCATTCTTTCTATTCAATGGAGTTGATGAATATTACTGAAATAGCAAGTCCTTGCTTTTGGAATGTGCGAGCAACTCTTCTCTTAGGTGTGATGCCTAAGAAACCCTAGTGTATACAAGGAAGCTTTATGTGTGAAGACCAAAGGAATTCACTTGCTTTGAGTTATTGTTTGCAGTGCCTTCCCATCTAGTCCTCTATCAGATTGCTTTGGGACTCCCCATCCTACATCGACATGGCTTTTCTAGCGCTATTTAAGCAGGCCATAACATTAAATCAAAATACCTGGGTAACATTTGTACGGTCTAAGCAATCGATGCAATTTGTCCTCACAACCCCAAGTTGCTCCTTAAGTTTCTCACTCTTCTCATTCAATAAAAAGTAACTGCATACAAGAAGAAAAATATAGCTGAGTGGATATATAGTATGCATCTTGTACAACCTGATGAAAAGAAAATTTTATTTGGTTAATGTAAACAAATGTACAAGCATATGATTAGAGAGAGAGAGAGAGAGAGAGAGAGAGAGAGAGCAAATAAAACAGGATTTTACGTCCTCAGCATGACCTCTAAGAATTTTCCATAATGAACATTTCTAGGTTAAACTGGCAGATATAGTCCTATATAATCATCTTGCATTTAAGAAAAGTGAAACTTGACTCTTTGCAACATGAATAGAGCAATAAATTTTGCCCACTTTTGCACACCATTAGAAGTATCTATCAGACAGCCATAGCCAAAATCAGCATCATATCCTTTTCTCATGCAGCACATCAAGTTGAAACCACTGACCTTAACAAAACTACGACTCCAAGTACCTGAAAATGAACCATACCCATTTTTTTCAAGGAAGTCTGCAATTTGGTCATAAAGAATGGAGAGACGCTCAAAGTGAACATGCCCACAAATCCGATGGAAATCGAAGTGCAGATATCTGCAATTTTACGTGAAATCAAGAGTTAGATTAGACATTTTTCCAACCATATTCAGGGTCGGCCAAAAAAACTATATTTAGCACACGTAAGAGGACAGATAAAGAAATAAAAGGAAATTCTACCTTACATCATCGCCAACAATATGCTGCATTGAATTGGCGTATTGTTCCGATAGGCGGCCCTCACTTCCATGCTAATAAAAATAAAATGCAAATTAGGGTGCGTTTGTTTAACTAAAAACTTCATGATAAAGGAAAATATTTACCATGGAAACCATATTCAAGGAAAATGATAATGGTTTAGGGAAAGTAATTTCTTTCTTGCTAGAGGGGGAAGGGGAAGTCATTTTCCCCCAATCTAAGCTTGTTGTTCTCAGTCCATGCAAAACGTTTCCATAGATCAATTAGTTTTCCGTCATCCAAACACTGGAAAGTCAGAAAACAATCTCCGGGAAACAGTTTTCCTTCAAACAAACGGACCCTTAGAATAGTAACTCTTTAAACTGTAAATTCCTCTTAATTTTCAGAGTGGCCTAAAAAGTCAGATGATTAATTATGGACAGTTAATGATAGATCTTTTAGCGTCCTAGGAAAGAAAGTTACCTTATTGACAAGATCAACAGCCAAAACAGCTCGATATGTTTTTCTCAAGTCCAGAAAGTGACGCTCGACAACTCGAGGCTGCGTATGATCCGTTAAAAAACAGAAGTGCATTCAATTTCACAGTTCAATGTACAAAAGCAGAAAACAGGTCAGAACACTCACAGCTTCCTCAGGTTTCACTATCTCAAACTTAGGCTTATATGTCAAATCAACAATTTGCTCCCAAGGAAATGGAATGGAACCTCGTATCTGGAAAAGGACATAAAAAATCATTTCAGGAAATACTGCACATAATGATGCATTTGTTGCCAATCACCAATCAAATAAGAGAAACAATACCCCTGTAAGCTTGCAAACAGGATTATCCATAATTACACTATGAGAAGGACTCAGATAACTTCAAGATCATATTTCACTATCTACTTACATTGTCAACAGTTTTTTTTCCCAAAAGGTTAAGCCATCAAGCTATGTGATAATAATGTACGTCAAGCATAGATTAAATGAATGATAGTCCTTTCATAATAAACTGAGGAACTCTTCCATGACAAACATCAACACAATATGGAGAGAGAGAGAGAGAGAGAGAGATTTACAAGGATGAATGATGCTGTGAACCCATTCATCTGCATAATTTGCTCACTTTCCACAAAGTTGGCAACATAACCATCAGAGTCAGCTCCCCTTCTCCACATTCGGGTTCCTTGAGGAAGATGATAAAAAGCATTAAGGTGTGGTTAGCTTTCATAGTAAACAGTGGGCTGACATTTGCAGTTCATATGTATACAGCCAGCTACATGCAAAGCAAGCTACATCTAATGAGAGATCTGACTAAGAAAAGAAAATCATTTGTTGATGAAAGTTACTGTCCTACTCAATTGACAATTTGATTGTGCCATCTTTTGGCACTTATCAGTTGGCTCAGGTGGCCAAGCAACCGTTAGCACTCTCTTGAGCACATGCAGAACCATCTTTTCACTACTTACGGTACTTTTATTGAGATGATATAGACAGAAAAGAGGTATCCATAGTAAAGTAATCATGAAGAAGGAAGCAATTACTTCTGGTGGTCCAGTATAGATGTATTAGCATAGTCTTTAACGGAACATGCACGCAAAAACTACCTAATAACAATCTGCAACAACTTGAAATAGAACCATTCTCCCAACTTGCAACCCATTTAAGCATCCCCTTCATGTACCACTAGCCAAAGAAAGCAGCATTCTCTGCCCTTGTTCCCATTCCATGACTCTCGAAACCTTTATTATACACCAGTTCAAGCGATACATTCTTATTATTTGCTTGAGGTTCGGACAACTGTGTTAGGAAAGGATTACTCGTCTTCATCTATGATCAAATATATGGGATCTAGCTACATACTCAACTACAATACTATACGTAAACATATCAATCATGAATAAGGTCACAAAATTGACAGTCTAAATAAAAAATATATTACTGAAGACGAGCAAAATCAAAGGCTTCAAGCACCATTTCTCCTTGTGCACCTCCTCGCAATCAATGTGACATCAGCAATATCTTTCCCAATGGCTGCTTGAAAATGTTGGAAGCGTGATAATCAGTTAAGGAGCTCGAACGTAAAGAGGGGTAAACCCAGCATTTTGTCATGGCTTTGAAAGTATGTCAAGCCTTGGTGCAGTTTCATGCAACAGCAAGCAAATAAAACTGAAAGGATATTCCCTTGGATAACAGGCAGCAAGTATCGATCAAGCTGTAAAGAGCACAATCACACAAATGGTCAGCATCAAGATCCACGAAATACAGAATACAAGAGTGCGGGAAAAAAATTGGATCACATATTTGTATCTGAGTTGCAACCTTTTTATCTATGAGAGGTTCCAGCAAATAATTATTCCAGAGAAACCGAGGATCAGCCTGTGGCAAAAAATTGGTGCCGTTAGCGAAAGTTATATTGCAAAATAGATATGAGTAAAATTTTGAAGACTTAGAATTTGGACGAATAGTGAATTCGAATTCAAGTACAGCCTCAAAGATGGAAAACTGTAGAAGATATCTTGAGTTAAGTCAAAGACCAAGAAGTCCTTTTTGGTAGAGTTCAACATATCAATACTGTAGTAATAGAGGGAAGGCGGTCACTAAAACGTGAAGACTTGCCTGTCTCCAAAGAGGAAGCAACTTGGACTCATCACCCAATTCATATAACCGTTGAGCACTGCAGCATAGAAGTTTACCCAGGCAGAGTCAAAGGCCAAGATGATCACTTAGGTTACCAATTATACTACCACATATATCAATGTCAGCAGCAAGTTCATATTCTGACGAGAGTGTTTAAAAAGCAGTAAAATGGTTGTGTCAATTCTGACGTCTGATTTCTGTACCGCTAAGATTTTTTATGGTGTATAGTGTATACTTCAGTGCGACTCTTCTTATTTGATTACAAGGCATTTCTTCTGTTGTGGAACATGCTTCCAAGCCCTTTTGGTCAAACAGGAGGAGATATGACCAAGGAAGAGACAACGCAGAACCATCAAGCATTAGTTTCAGTAGCAGGGGTTGTAAAAAGGGACAAGGTTAGAGGTTCAAAACCCTAACACGCAACTTTACCGAGCTAGAAAGAAAAACGAAGAGACATATTGAGCAATTACTATCGAGAGTTGGCCACGTCAAGCTATTCAATTTGAATGTTAGATATAAAATGCAGAGAAAGACTCCTGTTTCCTAAGCATATAGCAAACAGGTTAAATGGAATCTAACCAACACAATTCTGCTCAAGAACAAAGTTTAACTGTCACGCTTATAAGTATAAACGTACTTATACAAGCTCTCAGGAGTTCCTTCGAAAATCTGAAAATATACAATGCACATTGGAAGAACCTTACTCGTTTGTTTATTCGAATTTTATGAGTGCTAGTTGGCTCTTCAAATATTGGAGGATTAAAAACCCTTTCTTGCAAAAACAATTTATTTTCATATGTTCAATTTGTTCTTCTTCAAAATTGGCTTTATCCTCCTCTAGGAGAATCGGTTTACAGATTAATGCATAGTTAGAAACATCCATGAACTCAAAAAGTAAAGTGCCGCCATGTTTTGGCGCGTCAAAGACACACTTTGTCAAGTATCCCAATGCCTCAGCATCATGTACCTTACTTATGGACCAAATCAACCAAAGAGAACAAACATCATAACCAAAACTAAACAGGGTCTTCTCGCAGGTATGAGAAACAAGTAAGAGAGAATTTGTGTTTCCCCATCTACAATTGACAGCATCTTCAATTGATTTATGTAACTGGTGCTCTTTTCTTCTCTCCTATCCTCAGTGATATCATTCTGACTCCTATCCTCAGAGATATCTTTTGGACTATGTCTTAGCATTGATACTCACAAGAAAAAAGTATCTATCAAGCTAATTCTCAGTTTTCTTGATTCCACATACTACATTCAATAACCTTGCCAATTCCTTGAGCCAGGTGCATGTCATTTCTAAGCCAAGAGGTCCACAAAACTCAGTCTTGTTTAAATGATTTAAATTGTGGATGCACACATTTCCATATTCACAGTTCTGTTTTTCACTTGTAATGTGCGATGGAGATCTAACATATGTTGTTAGTGGGTAGTATGTCACCTTAGTGTTAAGTTAGTGTCATAAGAAAAATATAGACCAGAAGTCCTCTCTGCGACGCTGAGCAGTGCGGAAAACTCAGTCTCCAACCTCCTCTGCAAACATACAAGAACATCGTTAGTGGTACCACTCATGACTAGGGAAAAAGAAAAGGCAAAGAAGCACAGAGGCACACCTGCTCATTGGGGGAATGTTTGAGAGAATGGTCACAAGGGTAAACCTTCAAGGATGACGCTCTGAAGATAGGATGCCCAAAATAAGAGCCAACAGCCTCTCGTTCGGTGATAACAATCAAATAAGACCCTTGAGAAACACGAGAGTTTAGATGGAGATAAGCATTAAACACTTGATCCCAGCATTACATAAAATTATCACCAGAATGACCAAACAAGCTTGGAAATTGAAATTGCAGACGTTACATCTTATAATTACTTCCAATCCCATTTCTGTTAACGTCATTAATAATGGATTTACTTGGTTTTCATTTTTAAAGGGAACAAAAGATAGTCTCGGGCAAAAATGTGTCTGACTATATCCCTCGTCCAGAAGAAAAAGGTCTACCTCCTTATACGAGAAAATTACCATTCTGTAACACAATGCATGGAATGATTGAAAAAGAACAAATCCGCATCCGAACACTAAGAACGACGCGATAGCGACTATTATGATCACTTTTTTCAATGTATGAAGATCATATACACGGAAATGATCGTAAGCCTCATTCTAGGACATGAACCATCAAGCAGTTCTAAGTAATTAAAGATCCAAAGGAACCGCAAGCAGACAACCACCTGCCACAAGCTTCAACATCCCAACCACTCCAAAAATGGTTTGGATTTTGGGGACCCGCACCGAATCACATTCCGGAAGCTCATCTGGAGCAAAAAAATCCGCACATAAACAGTTAGAAAAGCACAAAAAAGGCAAGACATCGCCCAGCTGAAATTTTCTTTCCAAAAGTTCCAGGAGAAAACAAAAGAGAGACTGAAATTTGTGAACCCACCTATCAGATTCATCGTCCCATCAACACGACTGACCGCTAAAGAGGATCCACAAGATCCATCAGTGGGCTCAACAACGTACTGATCTGGGAATTCCCAGAGCCTCATCCGCGTGTACAGCTTCTGCTCAGACTCCGCCCTCTCCATCATTATTGGGGAGGGATCAAGCTCGCTCGCTGGGGGAGGGGGGAAACAAACACAGCTAAACGGAGCACACACAAAAACCCATCACTCAAATTCCACCAACGAAACAAAAGAAGCACCCAGAATTCACAGCCCACCAATCAAGAATCGAACTTTCGTCTCATTTCGTTCAAGAAGGCGAAGAATTCAACCGGAACGGAACTACCTGTGCGGAGATCACGGGTGAAAGTTTCAAACTTTCGTGAAGAGATCCAACGAAGTCGACGCGGGGAGCATAAAGTTTCGGACTTTCTGAGAGATGGGGGAGGCGGGGGGAGAAGCAGGGGGTGTTTACAGCGTGTGCACGGGGTGTCCGCCCATCATTTCAGAGCTTTGCACGGAGCCAAAAACGAAGAAGAAAAGAAAAAAGGGGTGATTTTTTTTAGAGATTAACGAACTGGCAAGAAAATTGGCGGTGTTGTAGGGACCAGAATGAATGGATTTTTCAGCGATCCGTAGGAGATGTTCACCAGAGAGAAGTGCTGACCCACTCCTTGCCCATGTAGCTGATGTTGTCAATTTTCCTTTCTTATTTTTCTAAATTACCGTGTAATACGATACAGCACGCGCAAACATATATACAAAAGTCGTTGTTCGTTCGTATGCTCGTCACGTGATACTTATCTTTAGCGTTGCCGTATGGCCCAATATTCTTACCGATTATTTACATGTCATTATGTGCACTTTTATGATTTTTTTTCAAATGCTAATGATAGATTAAACTGATGTTTTAAACATCTTCAGATGCTAAAAAAAAAGATTTTATCAGAGTTAGACTCAATCAAAATAACTAATTTGAGCATGACCAAGGTAATTGAATTAAGCTATACTATATCAAGCAATCCCACTCGGTACAAAAATAAAGTGAAATAAAGAGAGAAACCCACTTAATTTGAAAAAAGAAAAGATAAATTAGAAGAGTTTGTAGTTTTGCGCCGATTGGCAAACATACTTTATTTCCCTTTTTGGTTATTACTAGCAATCATTTTTGCATGTCTAATTTTTTAAAATGCTATTTTTTTTTCCATGACTAGATATATATTTAAGATTTTTGTATTTAAAGACAAGGTTGTTCATGTAGTTAGTTTTCAATCTTTTTTTTTAATTTTAGGCCTTGTTAATAAACCCTCTAACTTTTGAAGGCCTAACTATGCGAGTATTACGGTGCTACCGAGTTTATATATTAAAAATTCAATGGTGAATGTGTACAAATTTTATTACATTAACAACGAAACCTGAAATGATAATTATTAATCGTGCTAACATGCGTATGGAAGTTATGCATGAATGTAGTGCTTATAACTTCCCTCTAAACTTAGTTGTTGTCGAAGCTCCATCTACAGATGTATAAGACTTGGGTCTTAGTATAAGTGTAGTTGAGATTTTGATTGGAAAGTAAAAGAACAATAACCAACACTATTGATACAATAAGAATTTGGTTATTGTTCATTTATTTATTGCTCTTTTCTTTAGGTGAGTTTTTCCTTTACTTCAACATAAGAAAATGTATTCTAGTCCTAGGGATTAATTTATGATAGCGTATCATACGTTTTTTCCTTAGTTATGAATTTCTAATTTATATACATTCATTTCGAACCCTGTAAGGCGCATGAAAAGATACCTCTTTTCAAAAAAAAAATAGATTTGAATAGACACGTCTCTTAGCATTTCTTTTATAGCAGTTCAAAAAATTGTGTGTTCTTATTTTTATATGTTTGTTGTGTAAATTTAAGAATTTTTCTTCCTCCGCCATGTAAACACATCATGTAATCATACAAAATTTGAATTAACTTAGGGCCTGTTTGGCAAATTGCCAAATAGTAAAAATTTATGTTCTTTTATTCCCAAAATCAGTTTTGGAGCGGAAATTCATTTGTTAAATTTTTTGTGCCCGGGCACAATTTTGCAAAAAATTATTCCTAAAATCAGTTTTGGAACAGAATTAAGAAGTAAAAAAAAGTAGCTTCTTGATTCTGGAACAAAATTTCCATTTCTGATTCTTCTTCATTTTCTTCTTTTTTTTTGGTTTGTTGTTGTTCTTTGACTGCCGCCCGCCACTGCCGCCGCCGGTGGCCTGCGAGGCTAGGGCCGCAGGGCATCGTGGCCCCCGAGGTGGCCTGGCAGGGTCCCCTCGCCCCCGGGTGAGGGCGGCTTGCGACCGCGAAAGCGAGGCCTTGCCCAGCCAAGGCGAGGCCAGCGACGAGGGCCGCGACGCCCTCGCCGACCCTGGCCTGTGGCCGGTCACCGACGCCAGCGACAGGCCTTGGCCGAGGAAGAAAAGGGAAAGAAAGAAATATTAAAAAATTCAAAATATTATTAATAAAATGAAATTTTGTGTAGTTACCAAACGTATTTCTGTTCTTTTTCTATTTTAATAATAGAAATTTTGGACAGTTACCAAATATCTTCAAATGCTTAGAAATTATTTCCGGGCACAGAATAAAAAAGAATTATTTTTTAGCAGAATCCGTTCCCGGGCACAGAACGATTGCCATGCGCAGCCTTAATTTTACGCTACAAATAACAAATCTAAGACGCGCATTTTTACTTAGTTCGACTCAATAGTTCTCCGCTTGCACAACAAGAAATTGGAAGGAAAAAAAAAAAAAAAAAAAACCTCCTCTATTCACGCGCAATGTACGTGCCGTTTTTACTACCATAATAATCAACTTTATAATCTCTGTAAAAACATTGTAAAGACGAAAGATCGTCATGAAAAACGAGCATGGCCTGCACTATTATAAAAGGATAAATTCCAGGTTGAATATCGCTAGTTGCACCCAATGCATTGCTTTTGCAAAGGAGCCTGAAAAAGCAGCAAAAAAGCAGACTCCAATGCCTAAAGCTTTACGGACACTGCTGTCAATCACATGAACGAAAAGAGACGAATAAAATAGCAAATCTTCATCACCGCAAATGACCCTCCAAAGAGATTACATTGAAAAAAGAAGGTTTTGATTTGCTGCTCATGCAATACCATAGATCTTTCCTCATCTCAGCAACATGAACAAACTTCTTTTCTCTTCTTGGCAACCCAATGCATGCATCTCCGCACAGAATATCGTTACTGTCCTCCTCGTTCCTCCGCCTCCGGCGGCAGCTCTTTTGAATCCGAACCACCGTCGTTGTGGTCGTCATTGTCCTCCTCCTCCTCTGGAGGTGGTTTGTTCAGATCGAAATTGAAACCCGATCCTCGCCTCGGAGGGGAAGCAGTGGCGGCCGAACCGCTTGTGCCTGCTCCTTGACTCGCCGCTGCCACGTCTCTCCCCGGCGTCAAGGAAGCTTCATTTTGGTCCCCGCCATCCTTATTTGTCCTCGGCAACATGTGGAGTAAAGTCGAGGCGAGCTCCCCGCCTTCAACGCCGCTGCGGTGATGATTGCGAGCCTCCCCCTCTGCTGGGGAGTCCAGTGGTGGGAAGATCTCGCGCATGCACGGAGACTCTTTCTCCGGGTGAGTCCTCATGTGCGCGAACAGCTCCCGCCAACGGTGGAACTTCAACGAGCACGCGCCGCACGGCCTCGGGAGTTCGGGCAATTTAGGGTTCGTCTTCCGTCTCAGCACCCGCGCCGCCTGCGCGACCTCCGCCGGAGGGTCCGGCTCCAGCCCTCTGCGTTGCCCCCACAATCTTCGTCTGCCACGGGGAGCGGAACTCCCCGAACCCCAATCGGTCGCTTCAGTCGCCATATCATTGCCCCGAGACACCGCAACAATGTTGCTTTTCATGCTGTCGACCCATCTCACGCGAGGACGGTTGGGAGGATTCACCACGCTGCTTTCGAGTCGGGTCGTGCCATGTTTCTGGTCTAGCGACTTGTCATGGGGGTTGGTCATGAACGGCAGAGATGGCTGAGACCCTCTGCGATAAGTTGGACTGAGTTACAGGAAGAGGGTTTCACAAGTACCGTGTCCGAGAAATTTCCATTATGTTGAGTTTATTTATATGGTTGGAAAAAGGAGGTTTTCGAAAATGGCGATTAATACATTTTTGGTCAGTGTGCACGAAAGGTTGTGATGGTTCACTTCATATTATTGCCACCATTAGACAAGTGCTGCTTTGGCGGGAAATAATTTGCAGATTTTGTGCGAAAAATGCATAATGAGAGATTTATATGGGATTGAATGAAAAGCGACCCACCAATTCTTTCTTTTCCTTTGTTGTAAAGTTAAGGTAGAGAGAAAGATTTAAAAGAAATGATGAAACTTATAATTTGGATAATTTTTTAAGTGTACTGCTAAAAGAAGTCTCGGAAAAAAAACAGAAAAACTATTTAATTGTTCTTTGTGATATGAACTTAAACTAAATGAAAATATATATATATATAGAAAAGAACGAGATATGAATGAAATTAAAGAAATATTCGTTACGTTACACAAAAAGGCAAGCCATCTTTTTTAGTACAAAAACGAAGAAAAGTAAAAAATATGACCAAAGGCATCCAAAATTTATATTAAGTGACTAATAAATTTGATCGCCGCTTCTAAGTTCTTACTATTAATCACTTATGTGAGAAAAACTTTACCACGTATTGCGCTTGGGGCGAATGCTAAGGCTTGATAATTGGAAAGGAGGTTCAATTGTCAAATTTGTTTTGTTCATTCAGTCATGCGATAATTCTAAAGAGAGCGGCTGAACATACTTAAAAATTTTGTACAGAGCTTGTTTAGAATTATTTATTTGGGACTTCAAAATTTGTGTAATTGAAAAAAAAGAAATAAAAAAAGAAGGCAATTTATATTAGTCTATAAAATTGATCCGTTTAAGTTTTACTATTAATCTTATTTTTTTTTTTTTTTTAAAAAAATTTAGCCACGTATGGCGAGGTGGCTCCTGGGAGGCGGCCTTGGGGCGATGCTAAGGCTTGATAATTGGAAAGGAGGTTCAATTGTCAAATTTGTTTTGTTCATTCAGTCATGCGGCGGGCAGAGAAGGGAAGGGTAAAAAAAATATTAAACAATTTAAAATATTATTAATAAAAAAAATTTTGTATAGTTACAAAGATTTTCTTTGTTTCCAAGCAAGTAAAAAAACGAGTATTTTCATGCGACATCCCTCGGGAAGGATGCACGTTCACATGAGTAATTCTTGTTGTCGAAGGAGTTACCTTATATAAGAACTCTTGATACATTAGATATTTCGATTTGCCCCGTTAAAAAAAAAACAATCGAGATTGCCCCATTGCATTAGAAATAAAAGTAAATCCCTTATTCTCTGAAGTGTCATTGCCTTTTGCTAAGAGAAAAAAAATATAAAAATAGAAATGCCAAAAGTAACGTACACGCTAAGCTATACTACAATTAGGTGAAAACCCGCATGTTGCCCTGATGTTAGATTGAGGCTCCGTTCGTTTGGCGGAAAATATTTTTCAGGAAAATATTTTCCAAATTTTTCAGTGTTCGGGGGGCGGAAAATAACTTTCCACGGAAAATATTTTCTCTCCCATGGGCAATTTTGCCTTCACTTTGGGGAA